ATACACAATTAGTACACTATATGGATTTGTAAGTATACAAACAGATAATAATTACAATTGTGATTGGAATATTGTAATTTAAAGATGACAATTTTTAATCTATCGTTTTAGCTATTTTGTAGTTGGTCTATTGAACATCTTTTTATTTACTTATTAAACAAATCAAAATATATACCATGTTAAGAGGAAACCATGGGCCAGTGCATGGGATTCAAGACTATATATAATATACGAATGCTGAAATATAATTAGATAAGAAAAAGTGTTACAAAGTTACATCATAACAATACAAAAATGAGTTTATTTATAAAACTATTATAATTATACTATTATCATATCCTAATGGGGAGAGGAGACTGATAGGGGATAAATGTGGGGGTCACTGATGTGATTGATGTATGTCTAACCATAGGCGGCGCCAGCGGCGGATCAGTGGAGTAGGCCCGTAGTCATGCCATTCTGTTAAAAAAAACACTGCTTTGATGTGTCTTTGCAGTCTGAAAGTACCATTTCCGGGAATCTAGGTGTTTATTTTCAAAATCTGCTCAACTGAATGTGGGGCCTTCTTGGGAATCGGACTCTTCGTCGCGAACTTTCTGGCGCTGCCAGAACTACTACTACTACTACTTTCTGAACTACTTAGTACATGAGAGTATTTCTTTTCTTAGAACATTTCTAGTGGTAGAAGGGCAGGAGATTTGTCAACTGCCAACTGCGTTCCTTTATTTTTACAAAACAAGGCTACCTATTAGAAAGGCTTGTAAGCCTGCAAAGTTTGTGGGGCTGAAATTAACAAAATTGAAATATTTATGTCGGCCCACCTGTGGTTTCAACAGATTGAAACTGGCCCCCAACTTTAAAAAACTGCAATGTGATGCATTATGCTATGTATTATATTGTTGCATCATCTAATAATGTAATATTAATGGTAAAGATGAAGAACTGTTACTTAGCTTTTTAAATTTAGACATTTCCAAAAGGCCGTGCCTATCATGGAGACCTATGTTATGTGTGTTAAATGATTGTTTATGTCGACTGACCTTCACTACGGACATGCGGAGTTAAAACTACGATTTGGCTTATTCATTGTTAAGCCTGATTTACATAAAATTGCTACAATTTCACTAAAGCGTTTCTACAGCAATCGCTACATTATATAACATAGTGTTTTCATGCAACCTCTCTGCGTAGCTATACCCGACTTGATCGGCAGATTAACGTCGCCGACAATTGTCCACGATAAGTTGTAGTTAAATAGTAACGAGACTTACAATTAATGTCATCAACTAGTGTGTATTTATTATTGAACAAGTTCGATTAATCCCTCCACTAACGTCCAACGGGTGTTATATTTAAAAATTCTGAGCAATATAAAATTTAACTGCATCTAAGTCGATATAATGATTCTTTTTGTACAGGCGCCGGATGACACTGGTAGTACTACGTCATACAATGGAATACTATGCGATAATACTACTAACCTTACTATAGATCGTGCATTTGCAATAGGATGTATGCAGATAACCGTCGAACATGTCATAGCTTATGTGAAAACATTATTTCCAGAATTAGAAAATTGTAGGCTTACTGAAAACTGTACTGAAAACACACCAGCATATATTGCAGATTGTCAGTGTTAATCGTTATGAATTAAAGAGTACATTAAAGCCAGTAATTTTGAATTTTAAACAAACTTATTGGCTACTATAAATAATGGGTGTTGCAAAGTAGGTTTAGTCAAGTACATATTTAACTATTTATTCAAAGATAAATACAGAACAAAGCTTTTTAATAACAAACTGAAAAACCACTCACTCTTTTCTAAATGGAGTATATTAATAATGTTATTTTTTTTAATTTGATTTAAAAGAATATTTTATGTTATAAGAAGGTCTAAATTTTATTGTGCATTATATTTTAAATTATAAAAAAAATGAGTCAACTAAGTAAATGATGCGTTGACAAGTGTATTAGATAATTATTTAAAGTTTAAAATACTAATTTTTTTTTTGGTTTCCGAAATGAAAATTTGATAAAATATTAATTATCATTACTATTACTGTTTTATTACTATTACTGAACTCAGTGACGAATGATGCAGATTTAACAAAAGCACTATTCGATTATTAAAGGTATAATAATGCCTTACGGCAAGTGTTAAGGCAACCCAGTGCCAGTATGATGTTTGTCATAAAGGAAATCCCTTCATTTGATGACTTTTAGATTCAAGAAACGTATTGACATAAGCTCAAATTCGCGGATTTTGGCTATAAAAACTTAAACCTTTAATTATTCAAGAATGTGTCAGCAGTGAGGTCTTGCTCTTTATTAATTTCACTGTTTTTTATAACATAAGTCTGGTTGTAGATTGTCTTTTTTTTATAATTTAGTTAAATTATTACCGTACTGTTTATTTGTTTTGAACTATGAAATGAAATTATAAATAAATGTAATGTCGTTCTTATATAGCGCCTAATGCCTTAACAAAGCCTCTAAGCGCTTCACATTATTACCCCGGTCACTGGATCAAACACATATGGAACACATTAAACACTAAATGAAATTATTAAATTAAATTATATCTCCATAATATTGCGGCTAGTAATCAGCGCAGTGTTGGAACCTACCAGGTACCCACTTGTACTCCTGGGTGGAGAATGAACCCAATTATTATTAATATTATTATTTATGCTATTAATATTATTATTCTTGTTGTTATTGTTACAGTATTATCATTAAATTATTATTATAATTTAAAAAGATGAATGAACGAACATTACAGTAACACAATTATTATTATTATTAATATTATTATTATTATTGTTGTTGTTATTATTATTATTATTATAAAATGTTTATTATTATTACTATTATTATTACTATTATTATTATTATATTATTGTTACAGTATTAATATTAAATTATTACTATCATTAATTTATTATTATTTGTTATCATATGCATTTTAACGCTTAACTTTAATATTATAGGCCCAAGGCCCCTATTGTTTACAGTACCTTGCAAATGTATTTATTCAGTAAGTATTTATTAATATATTATAGCTGCAGCTATCCAAATTATTTATATATTTAATGTATGTGCATTGTATCAATAAAGCAAATGAATAAGGAAAATAAAATAAACCTCTTTGCTCACGTTTTAGCTAATATAGAATGTTCTCTTTTCAGCAAGTGTACATACTGGAGTCAATTCACTTGCACATAAAGACAATTATACAGATAGGGCCGTCGGAAACGCATCGACCACATTTTCTAATATTTTTATTACTTTTATTACCGTTACCTATAAATTATATAGCACAGCACATGCACCTGGGTCACAAAATGTTTTTTGTCATTCATGTAGAACTGTGTAACTTTCTTCTTTTTTTCTTTTCGACTATATTTTTATATTCGCCGTTGGGTTTTGTGCATTTGGAGAGCGTGTCGTTTTAGAGGTGCATGCACCTGTTGATACGCTCTCTCACTGGAATTGTTTCTATTTATATATTTTTGTACTGATGCCAGTAAAAAGTAGAAAAAAATAAAATAAAATAAAAGATAAATATATTAATAATGTTGGCACCACAATGTCTTTAAAAATATCCACTATGTAGGGGTTTTACGCCCGTGATATAAACTGGAAACCTGTTCGTATCAGCCCCAAACATGGTGGAGCAAAAGTGGGTATGGTATCTAGTCCCCCACATTGAAATTCTGTATCTGCTGTGCTCTTGTTAGTGGTTAATTGAAACAAAATGAAATAAAATAAAAGATAAATTTATTAATAATGTTGGCACCACAATGTCTTTAAAAATATTCATCATGTAGAAGTTTTACGCCCGTGATATAAACTGAAAACTTGTTCGTATCAGCCCCAAACATGCTGGAGCAAAGGGGGTATGGTATCTAGTCCCCCACCTTGAAATCCTGTATCTGCTGTGCTTTTGTTAGGCTGGTAAATTGGGGAAGCGGCTCTGCAGATTGCCAGCAGCTATTTCCCGGCAGCGGATTTTCGTTTTTATGCAGAGGCTTTCATACACGTACATTGATTTTAAACAACCTTATAGAGCCTTTGCCGTCTGCTTATGAAGAAGTTACTTATTGTTACTGACACCGCATTGAAAAGTCTGATAGTTTGCAGTTATCCTAAAGGCCATGTTGTGATTCTGGTAATACTTGTCATATCTTAGGCATTCGTCAGGGTGGATCACCGTATTTCAGGAGTGCCGCCAGGATTTGCCCAACGGGTTGTCCGGTGTCTCCTACGAAAAAAAAGTGGGCGCGGTTGGGCGCCGCCCAAATTCTCACGAAAGCGTCCCACAGGGGCGAAGCCCCGGATGACAATTTAGGGGCTTCGAGGGTTTATTTAATTGATTTTAGAGTAATAATATATAAAAAATACAAACACATTTTTTTTCTCCCCGACGAATTGTAGTTTTTCTATCCCCGACGAATTGTAGTTTTTCTATCCCTGACAAATTGTAATTTTTCTATCCC